GGGGGCAGACAAGGAGCAGGTTTCCCGGGAACTGGGGGACGGGGTGTGTGAGACAAGGAGCTGGGAGGGCAGACATGGAGCAGGTTTCCTGGGAGCTGGGGGGGAGGGAGACAAGGAGCTGGAGGGGCAGACAAGGAGCAGGTTTCCCGGGAACATTAGGAGGAAGTGCAGCCTGGGAACAGCTTGCCTGTTAACACCTATCCTCCAAGCTGTGAGAATGAAGCTTTATGGCCGAAATCCACTCAGTTCAAGGACCCTGTCTACAGCGGGTCCAGGAGAGTTACCCTCTGAAGGTCCCCTTTCCCTCCGCCTCAGCCACCTGTTAAAACCAAGCTCACCATTGCTGAGTGGATTCCAACTCATAGTGAGCCTGTACGAAAGAGCAGACCTGCCCCATAGAGTTCCCAAGGCTGTCATCTTCACAAATGCCCAATCTTTCTCCCACAGAGGGGCTGGCGGGTTCAAACCGCTACCCTTTGGTTTGGCAGCCTTGTGCTTAACCTCTGCACCACCAGGGGTCCTACGTGGATGTCAGAGATGCCCAAGTGCTGGAGGAGAGCTGAACGAGACCAGCCAAGGCTTCATGGTGTAATCGGAACTCCAGTCTGCTTTAGGCTCTGATGCTGTTATCCTGAAAGTCTCAAGTTTTGAACTGACCTTTCATTCTGAATTTCTGAACCCACCGCCGCTGAATCCTTTTCCACTCACAGCAGTCCAAAAGAACAGAGCTCAAGTTCCCATACATAGGGTTTCTGAGACTGTGTAAATCTTGATGTTCTCATCTGTCTCCCACAGAACAGCTGGTGGGTTCAGTTAGTAGCCCAGTGCTTAACTCATTGCACCACACGAGCTTATTCAATTTTGCTCCAAATCTTGTAGATTTCACAGCCAGTTCTATAGCCAACATTGGCCAGAGTGACTTACAAACTGGGGACGCCCGTGAGGAAAGCTTTTGTTACTATCTAGAAAGACTGAGATGTGTCTGGCCACAACATGACACCCCTACCCCCACTGACCATGGTCAACAACTACCGTGGACACAACAGGGGCACGCACTCACGTGAGGGAAATGGTGAAGTGGAAACGCTGCCGTAGACCGCGGAAGGTGACAAAGGACTGGGGTGGGAAGCTCCTGGTGGTCACCTCACAGTAGGGCTTCTCGTACTCGCCGGGAGGACACACGCAGTGGAAGCCACCAATGAGAAGGTTCACGCAGGTGCCCCCGTTCTTGCACACTCCGTTGGCACAGCGGCCCGAGCGCACGTTCACCTCGCAGTGTTCCCCTGGAGGAGAGAGAACACCAACAGTCAAGAAAGGGCCGGAGCAGCTCTTCGCGGCCCCCAAACACTGGATCTGCGAAGCCCACTGCAGAAAGAAAGCAGCTAGAACCACAGCAGGGTCAGGATGCAATTATCTGTACGCTGGTTCTCCCACTGGATGACACCCAGCACCTGGAGGGTAAGTTAACAGAGCCTGGGACACCTGGCTGGGGTGTTGTCAGGTGACTGTCTAGTGCTGACCCAGCCTTGTCTCGAAGCTTCTGGATTCTCTGTATCCCAGGAGGCAAAGGAACCAATCAGCAGTGAGCATGTCTCAGCACCCAACACTCTTCTGATCACCCTGCAGGCTGAGTGGGACTCTCTCTTACAAGTGAATTACCTAGAAACAGACAAAGGAGGTCTCCTGCTTCCTCTCTACACCCATGCTACTGTGATCACTGCACACAGCTGAGCCTGCTCCAAGTGTCTGGGGCTGGGACCCCGTCCTCGGGCATTCTGTCTGCTGAGCTCCCCCCTCTGCCTCTCATGGAGAATTCTTCCGTAGCCCCGCCGACACTGGGCCCCAGCAGCTTTTCATCAAGTCTGTCTCTCCCACCTGTCTGTGGGCTCACTGTGCTCTGATGTCCCCCACTCTTGGGTCTAATGTCTCCTGCTTCCTAGAGATACCAACTGGGGAGGACACAACTGATCACCTTGTCCCCCATAAGGTTCTGTCCGAGGTCTCCCCCCAGGCAGCTGGGGAGGCCACACACAGCACCAACAGATTCCAAATAGTGACGGGCAGCGCAATTCTCAAAATCCTTTATGGGGTTGGGAATGACAGGCCCCAAGTGGGAACAACCAGGGTCTACTTGCTCTGTCTAGACCACGCAGGGCGGATGAAAGCAGACACGGTCCTGCCTTCTCACACACACATTTACACACACACACCATGTGTTTATAGGTAATTGTTCACAGACATTGTTCTCATACACATGGACTCAAACACATACACCTGTAAACACATTTACTCACCCCATACCCCTCACACACACATTTACACACACACACACACTACCTCATACACATGGACTCACACACACCTGTAAACACATTTACTCACCCTACACACACATAGACTCACACAACCCTCACACACACATTTACACACTCACACACACCTATAAACACATTTACTTACCCCCCACACACATGGACTCAGACATCCCTCACACACACATTTACTCTCCTACACACACACCACCTCATACACATGGACTCACACACACCTGTAAACACATTTACTTACCCCACACACACATGGACTCAGACATCCCTCACACACACACATTTACACACACACCACCTCATACACATGGACTCATACATCCCTCACACACACATTTACTCTCCTACACACTCACACCCACATTTCCTCTCACACACAGCAGTCAGCGCCTGGGGCCTCTTCTCCAGGTGGGCGGCCTGCAGGCTTCTTGTGAAATTCTTTGACTGATCTTCAAGGCCCAGCTTGGCGCTCGGCTTGTTTCTCCTGATCCATACTGGGCAGATTCCTCACCTTCTACTGGAACAATGTCTGTGACATTTGGAAGTGTTTGCTTTCAGATTTTGGGCTCAGCCAGTTAGTGGTCAGGCACGTAAGTCCCGACAAACAAAGCCACAAGAGGGGACAGGGCGGGTGTGCTCACCACACCATGAAGGCAAACAAAGTGATGCCTCCTCCCGGCCCTGCTCTTCCCACAGTCCTCCTCCCTCTGTGTGCCAGCATCTCCATTATCTTCAAGTTCAAGTCCAGGCTTTGGGCCAAGTGTTCAAACTTTCACCCTTGATAAAGTGAAGGCTAGCTCACGCTTCCCAATGCCCCAACCACAATGTCCCCAAACCCCACCTTCTCCTTCTGCAGCGCCCTGCCCTCACTAAAGTTCTGGAGGGTTCCATTTTCTCATCTCTTCTACAATTTCCTCTAAAGGCAGCCTGCTACCTTGGACCAAAGAAAGGGAGGCCTTAAGTGAAGAGTGGCCTTCCTTCACTCTTTTGGATTTAATTTGAATTTTTGGTCCACCTTCCTGTTTCTAAGTACAGCTTTCAGATTTTCAACAGCCACAGGGAACCTGTTTCCCTCAGGTGACGAGAAGGATAAAGACACATCCTGCCTCGCAACCACTCGGGTTTCAAGGGACTCACTATGGTGAGTAAGGCGCTTTTGAAGCAACTGAGCGTCACACTGAAAACCAAGCTGGCTTCTTTCCGATCCTCTGCCTGAAAGCCTGTGCTGTTTTAGGTGCATTGTAAGTAAAGCTAGGTCTCTGAAGTGATTCTTGGGGTGTTTTTTTTTTTTTTGTTATCATGATGGTATTTCTGTTCTTTCGTAATTTCCAGGTGGTAGCGCTGTATGTCTGACTAAAGTGACAGTTGTGGTCAGTTTGTGTCTAAAACTCGGAGCTCTGAGCCTCCCTTCCTGTGGGGGTGCTGTGCTGAGTTACAATCTACAAACAGGGTGCTCTGGCCTCCCTTCCTGTGGGGGGCGCTGTTCTGAGTTATAATCTACAAACAGGGTGCTCTGGCCTCCCTTCTGTGGGGGCGCTGTGCTGATTTATAATCTACAAACAGGGTGCTCTGGCCTCCCTTCTGTGGGGGTGCTGTGCTGAGTTATAATCTACAAACAGGGTGCTCTGGGCTCCCTTCTGTGGGGGCGCTGTGCTGAGTTATAATCTACAAACAGGGTGCTCTGGCCTCCCTTCTGTTGGTGCCTCTTCCCTGGCTTCTGTGATGTGCCAGATTGGGTTTCTCTGCCATCAGGGCAGGCTCCTCACTTAGGGTGGGCTTGTAGGACCCTGACATGGGCCTCTTCCTCCTGCCTGAATAGTTCCCTCACTCCAGCACAATCAGAACTCGCTCCTCTTCAGCCAGCCCGCTCCCCTCAACTCACAGATCCTATCCAGTTCTTGTGTCCCTGCCTGTCACTCAAGACACAATCAATCCTAAAAACAGGGTCCTACTTCCCAGGTCCCGATTTGGGAGAGGGACTCCATTACTGTGCAGGGACCCACCTGGGCCCCTTTCCACCTTTTCCATGGGTACACTGCCACCTCCACCCCAAGTATACCCTGCCTCCCAGTGCCTACCTACACAACCCCAGGGTTACCTGTACTACCAGAGCTGCTGCCTACCACTGAGCAATCTGTTCTGCACATATCAACAACCATCACACATCACTCTCACTGCTTCCAGCCTCCTTTCCAGCACCCTTTCCTACCCCCGGCCCTCCCACGGGGCCCCCTCCTCCAGGGGTGCAGGGAGGGTCAGACGGACTAATGTGCATGGTACACGGGAAACCCCCAGCAGTGGTCATCAATTCCTTTAGTCATCCTCTGCACTTGATGTCCTCTCTTCTGGCCACCCCTGACTATCCCCTCAGCACGCCTGTCCTCGGACTCAATCACTTGCCCTCAGGGACGCCCAGGCCCAAAGCACCCAAGGCAGACTCTGATGGTCTCAGAATATCTCCTCTCCAGAGCACTTCACACACCTCCTGGTTCACATGCACAGAGTGGGCCGTGGGGCTGCGCCTAGGATGTCCAGCACTCAGAAGGTGGAGACCTGGCACCAGCAGGTTCTCAAGAAATACTTGTGAAGTGAAGTCATAAGTACCAGCATTTTCCCCCAGTCCTAGGCAGTGATTAATGTTTGTATTTAATCCATATAATCACAAAACATACATGATTCACATATTTGATCCAAATAACGTAAGAAATATGTTGATGCAATGGGTGAGGAATTACTTTTATAGTTAAAAGTACACTTTTGGAAAAAGGCGGTGAGAACTGAATGTTCGAGCTTCAGATGAGCTGGGTCTGCCTGGGAAAGGACCTCATCTCTAGGTTCATGCACCCTCATTCAGGCCAACTGATGGAGGCTTGTGGTAGGGCCTACAACCAAGACCACATCCAAGGATGCTTCTTGCAGTAGCCATGCCACCTAATTTGTTTAAAATGTCCAGCAATTCACTAGTGCTTCTCTTGAAAGTTGTCTTAATGCAGTGGTGTGCTGGGAAACACTGAACAACCAGCCCCCTGATTTACAGCTATTGCCAATTTCTGTGGTGTAAATATTCCTGCTTCAGCCAATTTCAAGTCACCCACATGATATGACTCAACAGGAAGTGGAGAAGAGATGTGATATGGTCATTTTTAATTCTTTTAAGACCAATCACTGGACAAGGATATCATACTGGTAAGGACAGAGAAAACGAGGAAGACCCCCAGCGAGATGGAATGGCAAAGTGGCAGCATCAATGGGCTCAAGTGTGGCAACGATAGTGAGGTTGGCCCAGGATTGGGCAGTGTTTCTTTCTGTTGTGTGCTATGAGTTGGTACTGACTCGATGGCACCTAACAACAGCCACAAAGCCATCTTATCCCAAACCAAACCCATCTGAGGCAAATGGGTTCCAACTCATGACTCATTGCCCTATAGGACACAGAACTGTCCCAGATGTGATACAGTAACACTGCCACGTAGAATGTCCCAGGCTGCACTCCTTACAGAAGCAGACAGCACATCTCTCTCCCTCAGAACAACAGGTGGGTTTTAACCTTCTGGATAGCAGCCGAGTGCTTTAGGCACTGTGCTACCAGGGATCCTCAGCTCTTCAAAGAAATACAACTTTAATGAAATAAATGGTCTCACCTGTCTGTCAGTGTGTCGTACTGTGGTGGCTTGCATGTTGCTGTGACGCTGAAAGCTTGGCCGCTTGTGTTTCAAGCATCCGCAGGGTCACCCATGGTGACCACGTCTCACTGGAGACACCAGACTTAAGAACAGAGTAGGAAGAAGGGAAGAGGTAGCCCACTTCTGAGGGACTGTTGTTTGTTGTTGTTGTTAAGTGCCATTGATTCAGTTTCAACCCACAGTGACCCTGTACAGAGGTTTCTGAGGAGCGGCTGGTAAATTTGAACCCACCGACCTTTCAGTTCACACTGATTTTGCAGTCCAGTGCATTAA